AATTACGTCCCGTGCAACGCGTCAGCGGTCGATCACTGGCCGAATGTTCTGAACCGAGCGACGCTAATATCGGCGGGGGGGGGGGGGGGGGGGAAAAGATTTCGCGCGTGCGAGAACGCGTGCAGTGAATATTTCTTAAAAACAATGCGAACGTAAGTTAAATTATGCGGCGGCGACGCGAGGCGCGAATAGTTACATCGCTAGTCGTCTCGCTAGCGCAACATAATTATTCAAGCGCCTCTGTGCGCATTGCTTTTAAAAAAGAAAACGTCCTAGAGCTAACGTCACGACCTTTATCTTATCAATAATTAATTCCTCGCATCCGGACGAAACGGCGCGATAATAAAAAAGATTTAGGGAGATCATTTCATCCTCCACGGAGGCGGAGTCGCAACACCTTGCCCGTCGCACGTTTCGGAAAGTTGATTACACCATGTACGTACAATCACAACAAAAATCTGCATAAAAATCTACACTGAAAAAAGTCTGATAATAGCTACCATATTAAATACTTTGTTCAGTATATTGGTGCAATATTATATATTGCATCAATATGTAACCAAACATAATGGTAACCAAGTCTAATAATTAGAAAAATATAAGATAATATTTGGGAAAGTAAGATTAACATTCAGTTGGTTTTATTAATATTTGATGGAAATTATTTTATTAAAATTTCATACTGTTAAATTCATAATATTAATTATATCCATTTAATTAATAAATCATTATTGTTTCTACTGAATATATCGTTAATTTAACTAAATATAAAATAATGAAGTTATAGTAAATAATTTGACTCAAGAAAATGTATTAAATTTGACTGTGAAATTTAATTTATTATTTGCTAAGTGCAGACGTTGTTTACTTTGAAACTAATCATAGAAATGGATTGATTTACATTTTGACAGATAAGGAAGTTACAAATAACAAAATGTTATTTACTCAAGGATCGGGATACCATTGCTCCTTTGACATTTAACAGTGTAGTAACTGTCATCTAGACTTAATTATTATTACTAGACTTTTTTTTTTCAGTACGTCAGAATCGTACGACAAAATGCAAAATTGCGTTCCGAGTGATCGCGCCAGCGGAACTCCTCGAATGCTGCTCCTCGTCAAAGACCGCGAAGTTTCCATTCGCTGAAACGGAACGAAATATGAATTACATCTAACTGTAACTGCCTTCACCTCACGTGGCGTGGAGTCATTTTGGTAAAAATCTCTAGGCTAGTTCTTCCTACGTCGGATACTCGAAACGACGATTGATTTATTCTCTCGCGCAGACATTCCGCACCCTCGACATTTACGCGTTTTTCCTTTGGCAGATGCAAATCCGAGCAGAGGATTCGTGCGACGAGTATCCCGCGTGAAAGTATGCCACGAGCTTATTTTCGCGGTCGTGAAACCGAAGGCTCTTCAGCGTCGCGGAAATGATTGGAGAACTGGAGAACCCCCGGTTCGCACCGCCTACACTCTCCCTCATGCGTTTCTCTCCTCTCGCGCTCACTCTTAAGTTACTATGAATTACTTCCTTATTATTGTTACTGTCGTTACAATGCTTCACTATCGTAAAATGCTATGATACAAGTAGACCCCGTTCGTCTGTTTTCACGGCTCAGTTATGATTATGACAAGTTGACTTCCATCGCTTTTCTTTCGTGCTTCTTTTTACAGCCCGACTCCACTACGGTTACTGCTGTCGACATCCGCTATTCTGCAAACCGCGAGATGACTTCTTACGAGAAACGTCATGAGATTTAGGTTTTCTTAGATGGAATATTTCATTCTTTTCGTTACCCGCTGGAGCTGACGTGGACCTACTCAATTATATCCCTCCGGAGCTGACAGTGGGTTCATTGGACCCTCTATGAAGTGATTGTTTGTATAACAAAGATTCTGACGAGTAAAAATAATTCAGCTTTTTCTGTGAAATAATGTTTATCATAAAAAATACATTATTATATTTGAATTTAGTATTATTTCTTAATTCTGGTATTATTATTATAACAATTGCCATTTTACATAAAAATGTTAAACAATTCAATTTTCTTTACGTTACAGCTGCAAATTTGGATTATTTTTATTAGAAAATAAACTTACTATTTATTCTTTTTTTAAGGAATTATATCATTTTGATTCTTCTCGGAATTAATTAGTGTCTTTTAATCAACATACATTAAATATTTTACAAGCTCATTGTCAGTAACTGTGTTACAGAGATTTTGGTGTCAGTTTTGAGCAGTTAAAGGAGAAGTGTCAAAGGTTCCCGGGATTTTAAAGAATCGTTTGAAGGATATAGAAAATTAATCTCAACACGCTTTCGGATTCAGTTTTGCAGAATAAACGGTATGTCACTTATATGCATTCGTGTGAAACACGTGAGAGGAACGGTTCGGACGCGCGTCGTCGTCGAATAGGTTGCGAACGAGAGAGAGAGAGAGAGAGAGAGAGAGAGAGAGAGAGAAATGCGCTAAAACTTGGACGATAATATCATTACATTCAGATGGGATGACGATATATGATGAAGTAACTACGGGATCGATGGTTCGCGACGCGCGTTCGTGCCGTTCCGCGCCGTTGATCGGCCGATCGTCTCATTGTTCAATCGTTCGGCAATGCGATTGCAACGGAGATTCACGTTAATTTTCATCCTCTCGCCTCCGTCACGATGCGCGGCCCCGAACGCGTTCAGAGAATGTCCAACAATTGTTTTCAGTTTTGTACACAAAATACCAACTATCTGTGCTGGAAAATGCACATACTGCTTGTACGCGTCATATATATATATCTATGTATATATATATATTTATATTTATATGTATATTTATATATGTATATGGTGTATTGTTTTTTGCATTTAGAGCGCGCCGTTATCTAAAAATTAGTATTTATAAGTATTCACCGTTTACACATTGCGTAATATCGTGTAGCGTGTAGCAGTGGGCTCTCTCCTATCACGGTGTTTTACAATATGCGAATATATGTATATATATATATTTTTATATATTAATATGTACATACACAAAACCATTCATTATTAGACATATGTTTCGCATTTTATACTTCTCTTGCCTTTGCTCCACGCTCAGAGAGTGGACGCTTCGAACAGATAGGGATGTGAAACTACGTTCGAGAACGTACGTCGTTCTACGGTCAATGCAACTCTTCTCATTTGAAAATAGTTATTTATTTATTTTTTATACAAATGATTTAAAAGTGATCCATCGACAATGATGCTGAATTATTTTATTTTTTTCGTTTTTACGGTGAAAATTGCATCTCACATCTTCTTTTCTTCACGTTCGATATATTTGGTGAAGAATTCACATGAGATGTAACGCTACTCTTATTATAATTTCTTTAAAAAAGTTGAAACCTATCTTTCTCTAAAAATTTTATGAAAAGCCATCGCAATTATGCCTTTTTAATGTGAAATTTTAGTTTCGAGCAACATTTTAATATTAAATTTTAATTTCGAGTTAACATTCCTATTAAAATCTCAATGAAAAAGAAATTGACTGAGGAACATATATTTCGTTATTTATTCATATTTTTAATTTAACACGAGCGCTCAACTCTTCTCATTAGTAGTAACTTCAACGCTGAATATTCTAATGTGAAAACGGTTCAAGTTTTCTAGATTTTACTTCTAGTGCGGACACGAGACTCTTTGTGGCGTTCTCTTATGAAAATGTATGCAGGACAACGTAAAGATACATTTTCGAACGTAGCTCAGGGAAAAAGACTGTCGCAGAGACGCTCCATTCAAATATTTCGACCACTCTCTTCCTAAAATATTTATTCGTAATCCTAATCTATCATACACACACTTTCTCTCTCACTCGCTCCTATCTTTCACTCCATGCACATTATTCACACGTACTCGCGCGGGCATGCATTCATACCGACCCAGGCAATCCGGAAATGGATATATTTGTCGACTACATGGTAGCCACAGCGCTCGACCAATGGAACGAGAGAGACACTTTAATCTCCCTGCTTATTATTTTATGACGTTCCTTATGACGTGTTTCTTCGTGGTATTTCCCGAAGGTAGAGGCGTCTCATCCTTTATACCTTCGACGACCTCGAAGTTGACGAATTAATATCGAACAGCTGAGTTCACCGACGGGTTAAGAGAAAGATCGACACATTACACACCGATCCTCTCACCCCATTGGACGATCGTTAAAAACTAGGATTTCTAAACGAGGAGAGGAAAGTAGACTGTTGACCGCGACTTCGTTTTACTCACCGCTGCCGTAGATTCACCTGTCGCGTAAGATCATAGCTCGCGATCTCTTTCTTTTTTTTTTTTCTTTTGGCTTCGCTCGCGGGTTCTCCAAAACAAGGAGATGTGACGAACCTCCATCGCGTCAACGGCGACGTGAGGCAGGAGGGTCGGTTTCGCATAACTGGGGTAGGTAGGATAAAGCGGAGCGGGGATGCAAGAAGCTTCCAGAGATAAGCGTGCAAGACATCGCACATCGAGGCACGTGTCTTCTCGTCTTTTACCTACTCTTTTTTTTCCTCTTTCGTCGTTGGACTTCGTTCTTTCGATCAGCTAAAGAATCTAGATACAAATTTGCGCGCAACATGGCGATTTGTAACGCGACTACTTTTTTTTTCCTCGTTCTACTCTCTGTTGAGAACGAACTTGAACGTTTCGATACTAAAAGCCCGGTCATTACCGAGCGTCAGTTAGCGCTAATTCTGCCTAATTCAATGTTTTCTTCTTCATCAGTATTATAGACAGGACTATAACTTAGAACTACAATCCACTGTTGACTCACCAGATTGCTTTTACATGAGCAGAGTAATTATTGTTGATGCTCCGATGCGGTTAATGCGAGCATAAATTAATATGATAATAAATGGCCGTGAATTCTAGGTTTTAACGATGTATTTCTTTTATTATCTGGCCATTGAAGTATAAATGTATCTTTCAAAATACGCAGCAAACGTACGTATTTACTGTAAATGCGTTTAATTGTATCTTTTTTTAAACGAGATTTCATTACGAATTTATTCGCACTGAACGAATACGGAACAACAACCGATCTTCGCATCTGCTCTCTTAATGAATTTGTTAATATTGCCGCGAAAAGTGCGCACGCGATCGAAATTAACGAGGACTATAGAGCGTCCCTATAGCGATATTATCGATATAACAATGATAATAATACTCACTAAATGTACACGCTACCTACTCCTGTACAAAGTTTAATTGCACAATGCATTTCTGATTTCCCACGCGAAGCGTACGTCCAATTATATTAATTTTTTTTTAGATAATAATCGTAAGCGCTTGCTCCTCAAGGCAGCTCTACGAGAGAGTGATACCTGGCAGTAAAGGAAAACAGTTTTGTCGATCGAACAGTTGACCGATTGTCGTAGATACTAAATGACTGTTTTCATTCCTCGCGCGGTGTATACGAAGAGCTTAACGAACTATGCACGCAATAGTATTAGTGAAGTCCCAAGCAATGAATACTCTCTACGCGGATCGCGCGAAAATCGTGAGAACATGGAATTATCGTAAATCACATTTTCGGACGTCAGCCGAATCTTAATCATTAAAAATGAGGGGTATATCGAAAAATGATTTTGCGGAAACTCTCTGCTGTTCATTCGTCAACGTATAAAAATATTAATACTAAAACATTTTTTTTAACTAAACCGAACTCACTTTACTCGACGTTATTTACGAGATATATCGCTTGTAATGTGATGTACCTCCCGTTTGATCCTCGAATAATCGTTACAGGGTTCGAGTATTCTTTTTTTTTCGTGATATTGAGATATATCACATATCTCTATTGTTACAATAGCTCGAAACTTGAGAGACATTTACATATACAACGATGCCAGGTGACACTGATGAGCTAGCTTGATTGCAAAATGGTGTTTACATGTTTAAGGGTATGTTCACACGCGCGCTCGTAATGTCTATAGAATTACGCTCATGCTTAATTTTAAGCACGATTAATTTTCACGCGAATCTGTACATTCTCATGCATCGGTATGCATGTGACACGCGCTTCCACCGTAATCTCTTTATCGCTAAAATACATTCGTAACAGACGTGTGTCCCTCAATTCTTAAATATATTGTACAACGAAGAAAAATAATTTAAAAAATTCATAACAAGAAATATCAGTTATGAATGAGACAGGATACATAATTAAAAATGACTTTCGATCTTATTCAGCTTAAACGTGCCGGACACACATGAGCGTCTCGATAAAAAAGTCTTATTTACTATACAACGTTTTGATTTTCACAACGGCAAAGCTTTCAAGAGCTGAACCCGAAGGTAGATCTGTAGTTTTGTAAGCTTCAATGATGTCGTTTAATGCAGGAGATACTTGCGCGTAGCGTACCTACTTGAGAATTTGTCGCACAAAGTTTTAAGAATATTTCAAGATATCTTGAGAATACAAACGCCTTGACGCGTGTACTATAACGAGATCAGCGTCGAAGATACAAAGATGAAGAGTAGTTGAGTAGATGTCGGAAAGAGCGTAAACAATTGCTCGGCTAAGCACGGGTGTGAACGACCCTTATGAAAAGAAATCGGCGAGCGACCCGCCAAGTCCTCTTCGATGGGGCGGCGAGTCACCCTATCACAATCTTCGTCGACGTCATAGTGGCGTTTGTCGTTGACGTGTATAAATGACGATGATGGAAGAAGTGCCAGTAGATGATGCTTGGCGACAACGACGAACGACACGACGCAGCAACGTCAAAGAAATCACCGTCACGATCGGACGAGTATCGCGCGTTCCGGCTTTAGATCCGGAAATAACGATAGCCGATTTTCTCTTTCTTCTTCACCCAGCCTCAACACGAAGCCACCACACTGCACCTTCACGTATACCCGCACCACACTGTAGCACCTCAACACATTGCAATTGTCATGGCCTATGGAATCTGCAATTGAAAACCAAGAGCATTAGTTATGAAAACATTGTAATTCGATATGTGGTTTTGAATAGAAAGGTGACACATCTCAAAATTAGCTTTTTTGAAGAACTTTCAAAAAAATTCTAAATTGGAACAACCTTTTAATTATGATTGTGAATATATGTAATAGTCACAAAAGTTTTCATTAACATCGACAGATTTAATATTTGAGAGGGCTTCCATCAGATAATTAAACTGTATCGAGCATAATTTTGTTTTGGTAATTCAAGACAATTTCATTATACGTGCTCTAATTCAATTTTTACAAGGCTGCATATATTTCGTAGGGCACTTTAGCGAAATGCTGAGATGATGCCAAATGTGCTTTTAAAATGGTGCCGCTATAAATTCGTAGAGCATCAAGTACCTGGTGAGGTGTCGGCTGTCCTCGTGAACGGCCATCTCCGAACTCTTGAACTCGTTTAATTCCTTCCTAATAGCAGCCTTGTCCTTCGGAGTTAACCGCGTCCAAGGCTTGTCGGCTCTTCTGTCGTAATCGTGAGCCTGCGTTACCTCGATATAGTCGTTGAACCTAATAATCTGCAGAACGAAGTGGAGAAGATAAGTATATCGGTTTTTGCTTTTATAGCTTTATCGTACAGTTTGCGAGACTCTTATCAGAAAGAAAATAGCTTCTCCGTAAAATGAGATACGATAAAATATTGGCTGAACTTAAACTCGGCGATATATCTTTTTTGGTATAGCCAATCTCTATCTTTAAAAAATAGGTAACATAACAAAAATCCGCGAGGCTTTACAAAGAATCTTTTTACCTTTTTCTCCTTGAGCTCTTCAACGGTCGGTCGGAAACTCAGCTTTCGCAGCAGATAACGTTTTTTCTCTTCCTTTTGCTTCTTTTCCTCGGCAGGGCTTTGCTCTAAAAAGGAGCGAAGAAAAATTAGGATTAGATTTTAATTCGCAATTAGATTTGGCAAAGTGAAAAATATATTCAATTACAGTGTATTTTGTATTTTGAATTAAAATGTAAATAATTTTTTACTTTTAAGAAATTTTCTTTTAAATTTAGCTTTAAAAGAATATAAAAAAAATAATGTCGGAATTTTTTCTCAATCGTCGCTCATCATTAAAGGAAACGGATAGAGTGACTTACTTTTCAAAATGTTCCTCTCCTCAAGTTCCTCCTGGGTCGGCCGCATGCTCAGCCGCCTGAAATGAAAATGGCACGAGAGTCAATGCAAGTTCATCGGCCGCTTTAATCTTCCTTTACGAGTGAGAGAGATATTCGAGGGAGAAAGCGAGGCATCCGCTTTGTGCAAACAATGTGATTCACTGCGGTCGAGACCACTCGTCCTATTATTCGCGCGTAATCTTTACGAGAGACAGCTGTTATTTCAAGCTCGTTTTTACATGAGCTGGATATCAGTCAGCGACGGACTGACATCGATCAAAAAAGAAAGGGAGGAAGAAACGAATATACCAGAAATTATTATATATACGTAGTTTCATATACGTAGTTTATAATATCGAAAAATGATTTTAATAATGAATTCTTTGACAAGGGAGGAATAACAGAGAAATCAGGATTTCGAATATTAAAAGGCAAAAACATTACGAAGCTTTATCGATATTATATTTTCTGTTGATTTTACAGAGCTTTCATTAAATTACACGCGAAGACACTTTACAGTAATTATATTTTCATAATCAACTGACAGTGTGACTGTTCAATTGAAAATTTATACGATTTCCTAACTCACCAGAGGATCCCTCGAGATTCCTTAAAGTAGACTGTTAGTTAAACGTAATTTTAAATTAGACGTAGAAGATTCGTTACGACGTGCCAATTTGCAATTCTCGCCTTTAATGAAAATATAGGCAAATACGTATTCGAAATCCTCTTATCCCTGATGCAATCACGCGAACGCTATATCTAATAGACGACCGAACAAGTCTCTCACCTGATAAGCTTGGCGCCGATGGCCTCTTTCGTCTCCTGCCTCTCATTGTCTGTCTGTAGCTGAAGAATATTCCTGTTGATGAGCTCCTGTCTGTCTGGCCTAAGAGCGAGCTTCAGCGAAAGTGATTCTTTGCGTGCGATCTTGGCTGCCAAACGGCCTGTCGAGACAGAAGGTATCGAATCTACTCATTAATTCGCTATTCGAATTATTGCATCTCGATATCGTAAAATGGGGTAATTTATAATAAATCTAGTTAGGGGGGATAAGTTTTTCAAATTTCTGAAAATTATCTGAATTATATTGTATTACTCTCATTTTAACCAAAGTGATCTCTCATCATTGCAATACAATTACTTTAAAGACGATAAAATGGAAAATTTAAAATTTCAAAACATTACTTTTTATTTCTGAACATCGAGTTAACGGTATCTGATAAAAGATCTGTGCTTGAAGCATGTGCACCTATCGACGTCGAGAAATTTAGCTCGTTATTAATGTGCAGTAGATTGAAGGAAGTTGAAAACCCTGATTTAACGTATTAAATAATTCCTCCTTTTTTTCTTTTTTACATGGATTTAAATTAACATGTAAAGTCTAGAATGAATTTCGCATAGACGTTGACCGAAGTGCGCGTCGATGTTAATTAATTTCGTGTCCGATCGCACGTCACAATTGCTGATTAATTACCCTCCACGATCGACGAGCAGCTGAAGCTGCGATGCAACAGCAGCGGGGCGTGTTCGGCCGGCTCGATTGAGGCGCAGACGATCGACACCGTCGACGCGGTCCATATCGACAGCATCGTGTCATCGCTCTCACTCTACCTCTCCTACGAATGCGATTTCAGGCGTGAAAAGCGTGTTCGAAGGGACCGAAATCGTCGCTTCGACAGTATTAATTACCGTCAGCCTTCGCAATGGCCATTCTGCGTCGCGTATTTCGGGAATTACTACGCTCTCGATCACATCTTCCGAGAACAAGTCTGAAACTACGAGCGGATGTACGAATTTAGGGCTCGACAATTGATTTGAGGAAGCAATTTCACGACCGTTCACACCTACGCGATTTAATAAAAAATTAACGAGCGAAAATTACGTAGTGATAAATCCGGATGGAAGAACGACTACGGACTGAGCTACTTGCCAGCTATTTTCGGGGATTAATATAAACCACCTCCTAAGTGTTCGCTTACAGACATATACATGCCACCTGGCACGAGTATAATTAGTCTAGTCACTGAACACTGATTTAAAGTGTTGAGTAATCACGCGGATGTATCGTGAGAAAAATCAACGCAATGTTCCTGTGGACATTTAATTCAAATGGTCGCGCTAGAAGCGCCGGTCTTGACAGAGAGAGATAATTCTTTTCACACACCGATTTATATGTAGACAAATTTTTTTTTTGGCAACTTTTTAACAACAAATAATCAACAAATAAAAAGAGTAGTTAGAACTGGTTCGGCTCATTTTGTTCCGCTAACTTATGAGATGTCGAATTATCTACAGCATGTTGCACTAAATACTATGAATTACGAACAAATTTATTCAATAGAGAATAGAGTGCTAAATGCGAAAACATGAATCTTAGATTTTTTTAGGAGAGCTTACATTGATTATTCGATGGCGCATCGAAGTTTTTTCTTTCTTTTAAATTTTCTCAACTTTCGTAAATATTTGAAAGTGACCATTCGCCAAGTTTCACCCAACTTCTTTTTATTTCCACATTCCGCAAAGTTTTTCTGCCACCTGCGACTGACTTAGAGAGCTTTTTTCCTAGCAGTATCCTCGAGATTTAGAGCGGTCCGCCGCATCTATCTTTTCCGCGGAAAAAGAGAGAACGTTATCGCGAATACAGCGTGAGACTATTTATGAATTCGTTCGAAAGTCCATTCAATCGAATCACGTCGGTGAGTTTGAAACCTCATATCTCGATGGAAAATTGCATAAGCGGAGGCGTGAAATAAACATGACCCTCGCTTTCGCGTAACTGCATTCGTGACTGCGCATTTTTATCGCTATGCACACAGGCGCAACGCGATTTAAGCCTCTGGTTGCTGCGGAATTTTGATATAAATCTTTATAGTAGAGAGCATATTTATTTTTCACGAAAAACGATGCGATTGACTCTCAGCCGCGGGTCTCATCGATCGGCATGATCCGCCGCCGTACTTTTTTTTTATGATGTAACGTAGAACGTCCATTAAAATTTCAGATTTACAACTGGCGAAGCAACATAAAGTTACTATCTGCCTAATTGATTGCTCAGAGGCAAGCACGTGTTCTAAAATATTGAGGAAAAATTGATTTGCGAAATTCATTCTATGCATTCACATTGATTATCACGATGTAAAGTATGCTGCAATATTGCTCATTTATTATGTTCTCTGTTTGGTATATATTTTATGTAGTTTGTATAAACTAATTAATATCGAGTAATAATAATCAATATTTATCTCTCATTAATGATTAATTATCAATTAAGCAAGTTGTATAATAAACAATTATTTCATTCTAATTTTTAATATTTTAGTTATAATTAATAATTTCTTTACTATCTATATATGTATCATACGCAACCGCTTTCCGATGTGCAATATGACAGAATATTCAAACAAGATATGATAGTGACGATCTCATGACTCAATGAATTTTTGTATGGGATGATTATTACACGGAAAAAACAATTTTGCTAAAGTATTTAAAAAATTAGCTAGTTACAAATCTGAAAATAATTTTGTTGGACTATCAAAATAATTATACAAAATGTATCAAGCATGATGAGCAAAAAGTTTTGATATTCTGATAATCAGTTTCAGCATTCTACATACTAAAACATAATCTGGCAACAGCTACATTGACAAAAAATATTAAAATTTAATAAATATTTGTTCGAATAGTTCTAAGTAAATTAATCAATATCCAAAAATCATGTTCTAAGTAAATATTTACTTAATGAAAACATATATTTATTTAATTTGATTTAATTATCATTTTATTGAATAAATATTTCATTATCACAGATAAATATTTAGTAAATTTTACCAATCACATTATAATTAATAATCAATCGTTTGATAATAATTTATAGAAAAGTAAAATAATATTTTTAAAAAGCAAAAATAGCGTTTAGTTGGTTTTAATTACATACTAATCGAATATATTTGATTGAAATTATTTTACGCTTTAGTAACTATCATCTAGGCTTGATTATTATTATCAGACTTTTCAGTGAATTATTATCTTGATGGTTGGACAAAGTTATATTTTCAGATTTGTATCTAGTTAAATTTTTAGACACTTTAGCAAAATCGTTCTTTCCATGACAGGCAATTCGCAGGTTAAACGATTCATAAAATTGGTAACTCACTTTTCTCATCGTCGTAATCATCCCTGTAGAGAACTTGTCCGTCACCGGAGTCGCCGTCCGCATCTTCTCGGATGACGTAAGGCCTCGCGTTCTCCTTGTTCTCCAGAGTACAGGGTAGAGCGAGGCCAAATCTGACCGGTCGACTGCTGAAAGAAGCACATGCAGGATCATTAGTCCGAGTCTCCGGCGATACACAATCGCTGGTTGATGCTACGTGAACCAATGTTCTACTCTACGGTGCTACAAGAGAACGAGATGCGAATATGGGGTATATGCCGGGGTGGAGAAAAAAAAAGGGATGGAGAAATGCATAGTGACACGTCGAGAACAACGGGGGTGACGCCATGTGAAACGACATAGTCTCTCGCGCATATTTCGCTCGGCCACTCAAGTCCGGCTGTTACCATTCGACACGTTGAATGCCGCATATGTAAACTTTATTCTTTGTACACAGAAAAAACAGTTTTGCTGAAGTATCGAACAATTTAGTTAAGTACACGGAAAAAGAATAGTTTTGCTAAAGTAACTAAATTTAACTAGACACAGATCTGAAAATGATTTTATTTGGATCATAAAAATAATTATGTAGAACGTTTAAATTTTGATGACAATGTTGCTAAAAGTTTTAACATTCTAACAATCAGTTTAAACATTCTACATAATTATTTTGATCGTTCGAACAGAATTATTTTTGGATTTGTATGTAATTAAAATTTTGGATTCTTCAGTAAAACAATTCTTTGTATGTACACATCTAAAAATACTTTTGTTAATACATTAAAATAATTATGTAGAATGTTTAAGCTTTAATGACAATGCTGCTAAAAATTTTAACATTCTGACATCAGTTTGAGCATACATAATTATTTTGATTGTAGAAACAAAATTATTTTTAGATCTACATTTAATTAAAATTTTAGATTCTTTAGTAAAACTGTTCTTTCTGTGTGCAGATTTGAAAATAACTTTGTTTAGCTATTAAAATAATTATGTAGAATGCTTAAGCATTGACAACAAAGCTATAAAAAGTTTTAATATTCTAGCAACTAATTTGCAAATTATTTCGATGGTCCAAACAGAATTATTTTCAACTTTGTATCTAGAAAAAACTTTAGATTAAAATTTCTTAAAATTTTAGATCCTTTAGTTTAATCGTTCTTTTTGTATGTTCAGATTTGAAAATAATTTTGTTAGATCACTAAAATAATTATGTATAACACTTAAGCTTTGATGACAATGCTGCTAAAAATTTTAACAGTCTAACAAACAGTTTGAGCATACATAATTATTTTGATAGTCCAAATAAAATTATTTTCAGATCTGTATTTGATTATAATTTTAGATTCTTCAGCAAAACTTTTCTTTTTTTTTTTAGTACTAATTTTAAAATAATTTTGTTGGACTATTAAAATAATTATATAGAACGCTTATATATATAATAAAAGCAAGGATGTTGATGACAATGCTGCAAAAAGTTTTAACGTTCTAGCAACTAATTTGAGCGTCCTACATAATTATTTTGATGGTCCAAACAAAATTATTTTCAAATTTGCATTTAACTAAATTTTTAGATAATTCAGCAAAACCATTCTTCTTATATTTCGTACGCCACACACGATCTAAAGACGACATATTCGCGTGACGAGGAAAATTTATTGCAAAATTCCAGACCACACATGTGACGAACATGGGAAAATGGTAATTACAATAATTATGGAAATTAAGAGATCTGGCACACATTCAACGTGTTCGAAGTCGCTATTCTTGGATCGATCCGTAAGCACACTACCTTGCTGCAGCATGTTGAGAATTTTTGTACTTAAACTTTGGAAGTTATCGCGAAAGATTTTCTTCCAAGAATAGGAGGCACTAAGAAATGTTTCACAAATATTTAGCGCAAGCGCTTCTCTTGATTGTGTACGCAGTGTTCTTGAGAAGAAGTTTTTTTCCCTCCTCGTGGCAGTTTATCGCAAGAACTGTTATAATATTTGCATTTAACATTACAGTAACTTCCAAAAGTCGGGATACTTTAACCTCTTTTTGTGTTGTGCTTTTAAGGATAATTAATATTGCAAAATTATCAAAAATTTCGTAAAAGTCAAAACGTGAGGCACATCACAGTCTATGCACTTGTATCTTTATTTTAATATCTAAACTTTTAATTTATCTTTTTTCTCATACGATATGCGTGACGTCAGAAGTGAGGTGCCTCAGGTTAAATATTTTCAAAGCGTTTTCAAAAGTAAAAAGCCGGCGCGCTCAAAGCATCAAAGCTGCAATAATGTAATATGAACTAAAGCTCCGGCAGTACTAACTTTTGTTGCGTGTGCTTAAGATTCGCGATATCCATTTTAATTCAACATCAGTAAAATAATAATAATTTTTTAATAATTAATTTCCACAGACACGTGTAATTTTGGAAAATAATCGACAAGTTAATACGATATTAATTAAAAATACATATACATAATATCTCGTTCGTAAGTTTTCCATCATTTTTTGCAAAAATTGCGGCATGGTAAAGAAGTTACAGACAAGGACGTAATATGTATGATAATATCATCACACACATATGAAATCATAAATATATAATTAATATACTTTATCTATCATTACTTAGAACTGATATTTAAGGATCAGATACCTCACAAAAATAATTACACTGATTCACAGATTACTCTTTCTCAATACTTGCATAGTAATTCTATGCATTTTTAGCTGAAAAAGAATATAAAAAAATCGGGAAAGTTCCACCATTCACAGATTTTGAGAAATAAAAGACTTTGTTTTTCAAAAATCTCTAGAAATTTAAACAATATTTACATTTTTTTTTCTTTTACTTTACGGGGTAAAATTATCATTCAGATGTTGAGAAACAGAAATCTTTTAAATCAGTATAACTTTTGACATTAAATATAATGCTAATCTTAATATTTTAATATATCACTTAAAAGTGTACATGAACAATAAAAGAAGCTTCATATCATCACATTAAGTTTTACATATAAAAAGTTTTACATGTAAAAAGAATAGCTATATATTACATATATTGGAAATTTGCGTTATTATAATAAAAAAAATTCAAACAGGTTTTAAATATTGAAGGGTGACGGAATTTTCTGAAAAGCATATATATTTTTTCAATGTAAAAAATCCAACGAGGAACACTTATTATTTAATAAGAAACAATGTGGATTAAAGTTTATTGTTCAGTATTATTAGTATAGAAAGGGCTACATGCTTTTTCGTATAACAGGATACACGAAATAATTAACAATCAAAATAATCGGATAATTTTAATACCAAACATATAAATGTATCGGGAAAATCAGGGGAGATGAGAAGGGAGGAAGTTATATACTTACAGGAACGGTATAGTTAACCGCGACACTTCCTCGTCGTAATTATCCGACTTACACAAATTGCGCAAGTTACTTTGCGAACGACATCGTCGACGGATCACGAGATCGATCGATCACGTGTAAAGGAAACTAACAAACTTGTCCCGCCTCTAATGCGATATTCGACTCACGTGATGTGTCGAGCGTGATCGAATGGTGGCTGCGTGACAAGCGTAAAACGAGATTTTTCATGGGTTTCCCTAAGGTTTTCTCATGCTTAAAACGTTGGACATTGCCATGCTCACGGCGCTCACATGACTCGCGAAGGGAGTCACTGAGAGAGATAAAAGTGGAGGAGAGACTAGAACATTTTGGTTCTCTCGCGATCAACAGCGCCGTAAGACAAAGACGTAAAAAACAATATACATGATACGTATATGTACATATATGTATATATACCATCGGTTTGCAAACATGCTTAGTTAGACCAATGACCAATTACCATATTCTCATCCTAGGCCTCAACGGTGGCCTTCTGGTTAAGCATAAGAAAAATACGATGCTTTACTAATGACTGATATGTTAATGACGGGTGCACGAAGTACATTCTACGAGTACTCGCTTGAGAGAGCGTACGTTTCCCTTCAATAATTCTATCTCGCATTTCGGATTACATCATAATACTGTAATACCGCGTATGCTTAACACGTTTTGTCTGCCCAGTAGTTTTTGTATAATTTATCGTGTATGCAACAGTAGAATTTTTATTATCATAAATAATGATAAACTATTTTTTGTGTAGTATAATTAAATAAAATTTTATTCTCATGGGTACGTGAATTATGCACATTTTTACTTTGAGTTATTATCCAGCTGTTAGTCAAAATTTTAAATTGTATATAATATGGATTAAATAAATGCATGAAAAGAACGATTTTACTGAAACATCTAAAAATTTAGCTAGATACAAATCTGAAAATAATTTTGTTGGACCATCCAAATAATTATGTAGAAAGTTCAAATATGATAAGCAATGTTGCAAAAAATTTTGACATTCTAGGGGGCTAGTTTAAGTGTCTTACATAATTATTTTGAAAATTCAACAAAATTATTTTTAGATCTGTATTTAGCTAACTTTTTAAATACTTCAGTAAAACTGTTCTCTCCGTGTGTGAATTGTGCACTTTTTATTTTACGTTATCTAGCTATTTATGTCATTCAAAACTTTGTGGTTATTAAATATTTATTTTTTGACATATTTTTTAAATTTTCGATAGCACTTGCAGTCAACAACTTAATATTAATATTTTAGAAACTTAGATAATATTCAAACACTTAATATATTCTTAGAATTATTTTAATGCCAATTCTATTTTAAATAAAGCTTATCATTGTAAAAAGAAATATGTTGAAAGAGAGGTCGATTTTTTATCAAAAAGATGTAAAGGAAATAGTGTTTTTTGTAAATTTTGACCTTCTGGATGTAATAAAATTATTAAAAAGTTCGTAGTGCTTCGGGAATATCTAAAAAGTCGAGCACGAATATGATGTATTTATTCAAATTTTAATGTTCTTATTCAATTTTCGATGTTTCCTAAACGCCACGACTGCTTTCTAATAACTTTATTGTATCCAGGAAATCAAAATCTATTTAAAAAACACTTTTTTCTACTTACATCTTTTTGAGAAAAAATTGGCTCTTTCCTAACATCCTTCTTTGAATCAAGTAATTCAAGAGATTTATTCAACCGGGCAGCCGACGCGAGCTATCAAAAAAACTTCGAGCAGCGAGACAGGAAATTAAAGGATTACGTTCGGAAAAAATTAGGGCTCTTCGACATCTGCTTCTTACTCCTTCCATTATAAGACCGCGTGTAATAATACCACGGTGGAGCAGGGCACTTGAAGCCTGCTTGTAAATGCGATGCTTTCCGAAGGTTTTCGATATCAAACAACAAGAGACCCGCGAGAAACCGGGCTTTTGACAACGATTTTTAATTAAAGAAAAGTCGTAGAAAGCGGATTATCCCGGCGAATTTACGCCGGATGACTCTCGAAGAGCGCCCGATTCTTACGGCGAGTTTCGAGTTTCGATGCAAAGTGTTCGAGAGAAAAATCCAGAAATATCTGCGCTTCACATTCATTTCACGTTTTTTTGTCTCCTAAATGCTGATGCGACCGTTGCAAAGTGCTGGTTCAAAGTGATACAATCTACGAACTTCTTTTACGATTTCAACGCTATTATGTAATGCGTTATGAAAGAGATGATGCATTTTCCTATCAGATGCTTGAATGCAAAGATAAGTAACTTCATAATTCTTCAAGCATGAAGTGTCCAAAATGCATCTCATAAATTATGAATTTTTCTTATTCTTACATTTTTTCACGAGTGATATTCTTTTAATAAAAAAAAGTTAGTAAAAATGTGTAATCGCGTTCCATTTTTTATTACTAACTATTTATCACAAATTATATGAGCTATACTTTCGCGTAATTTTCCTCTTTTCCCGACGATTTAAACTAATGTGCAATAGAAGTAATTTTGACAACTCTAGTCTCCAATTTTCCTTTCAGAATACCTTATACTTTAAAATAAACCTTACAAATTGAATTTTCCTCATTTCTCTGTCATTTTAATTTTTTTCTAAATTATATTCTTTTAATAAAAAAAAAGTTTTAATAAAACAGTATAATTGAATTACATTATTCATCACAAATTATATATGAACTTCTGTGTAATTTCCCTGTTTTCCTGACTCTTTGAACCAACATGCAATGGAAGTTTGACAGCTCGAGTCTCCGATTTCCCTTCTCGAACACTTCTGCAGTAATGGATATACTCGAGCATATGTAAAGCGAAGTATTTTGCGAAGTCGCAGGAGAGCACTAACTTGAATGAGGCATGGAGCTCCTGGCGAAGCGTCAGCGGCCTGTTCTCCTGCGTCGGAGTGTTTTGAGGCGTGCCAGGCCCGCTTCCGGAGCCCCGTTTCTTCAGGACGCTCTTCAGCGGCACGGCATGGAATTTCGGCTCTTTCGCCGGTATCTCCTCGACACGAGACGTATCGATCGCCGGATCAGGCTGCGACATCCTGAAGAGGTACATATTGTCGTCCTCTTCTTCCACGTCGCCATCCTCCTCATCTATCAGGGCAAACGGCAAGAAAACTTATATAACCAAAAGGATCCGAATCGATGAAACGCAATTACTTCATGTTTGATTTATACATGGAAATCAAATAGTTTTAAGTTTGTATACAATCAAAAAGATCAGACGGCTGATGTCATTTATCAAAGCTTGAAGAATTCAAGTAAATACAGTGTCGGACGTTGAAATTGCAACACCAAAAGTAGACATTTGATTAGAACGAAATTTTATATCATTATTTATAATGTCAGATTATACTCAATTTGAATATGCCATTTTTAATTAAAACAATAGAATTAAAATGTCCGCAAGAATTAGGACTTGTGTTCAAGCACATATTTAAATGGTGGTTATACCTAACATTAAATTACAAAATATTTTTATAAAATTGAATATCTTTCAACAAATTGTGCAATAAATTTTTTAAAACCATAATCATTTGTTCACACTGTTTCTCCTAATATACTTATAGATTTTTATCCTAAAATAGGGTTAAATTTTGATATTTCTTTCTTGATGTTGCAATAGCAATTTCCAACAACATATATATCTAAAACAAATTTAGCGATTTGTGTAAGAAATAAATGCATTATATAAATAAAATAAATAATAATATATAAATATAAATAATATAAATAAATAATATAAATATGCAAATGTGTCGATTGTTCTTTCGGATTCATATAATTACGCTACGTGGGATTCATTTATGGATATTCAATGACACAATTGTAACGTTCGATAGTTAATAACTAACAATAAGCAGACGTCGTGGTTGCGGGAACAAGTGCATCGACACAACAGAAAATTGCGATTATCAATTAGCACAACCCGATAATTAACAACGGAATTAAATTCTCAGTAATGAAATAAACAGTATTAAATAATTCCATAATGATATCATCCTTATTATGATCGTAATTTTATAACTATATATATATATATATAGCGATATTAAAAATCAAACTAACAGAAATGACAAGAGCACGCGTTGTTGCTTATACAGAACACTATAACTGATTTATCGGTTATCTTAGAATCGTGCCAACGACAGGAGACTCCAATAGCGATGAAGAGGTTCTATCATGTGATTAATTGCTCCAATTAATTGCTCCAATACTCTCCTCTTCCGCGGCATTAATGTTTCATTACGGACACTTACCCTCGTCCTCGCAGTCCGAGAGCGGTATTTGCCGTTGTCTCGCTAACAAAGTAGGACTTGGGGAGCTGAACATGGGCGGGGGTGGTATAGGGCCGATTTCGCTCAACGGTATCGGCGGCTCTGGGAGCTCCGACAGCATCAGGGTATTCTGAGGTGGTAACGGGTAACACCTCTCGATTACCTGCTGATTGTCGGCGCTCTGATCCAGCACCCCCTTGTCCACTGAAAACAGAAAAAACCGTGGCTTGTAATGTTACATCGAGATAATTGTACATCAAGATTCACTATTCTGCTAATTATTTTTTATTATTCCGTTCTACCGTTTATCTTTCTTCCTTGTTTTTTCTCAACGTCGATGTTTCTAAATTCAATTGCAAAATTAAGACGTTTTTATTGTCTATACACGGAAAGAACAATTCTGCTAAAGTATATAAAAATTTAGTTAGATATACATTTGAAAATAATTTCTTGTTGGACTATCAAAATAATTAATTATAACGCTCAAAATTGCTAGAAAATGTAAAAAAATTTTTACAACATTAATCAACAAAATTATTTTCAGATTTATATTTAGCTAAATTTTTAGATGTTCTATTAAAAATATTATTTCCGCGTAGCATTAAAGTGGAGGAGACACAATGATAGATTATTTTCATTAAATTGTTTAAAAACATCAAATGCGATCGAAAGGAGCACGCATTCGATCTAATAAAGTTACATCGAAGTCAGTTGTTGCAAGAAACGTGATCCACCGTTTCATGCACCGTGATTCATCGCAATGCGGGAGCAACAATATCTTGGCAAACGCGAACGAATGCCACGCGCTTATGCTCGTTGCAGCTGCTAGATGAGAGACTTGCGAAACACAGTTTGCGGGTTTCGCCGAATTTGTTTATTATTAAATCCCGTTACCATCGTGTACGGAACACCGGGCGGAATTTTTAATTTGGCGCTACCACTTTACGGTGTATCCTTTTTTTTTCTAGAAATTTCATTTCATAAAGACTCACGTATTTTTCATGAATAACGACCCATCGTTATACCCACGGCCAGTATCGGCTGGAATGTTAAACAAGTCGGTGGATGCGCGCACTCGCGCTGCTGGCCATTTGATAATGTCGCGCACCTAAATTCTGACACAAAAGGACGAAGTTCCAGGCGGTTACCGGGCGAGATACTTCGGCTACCAAGCATTCCCCGAGGATCGTCCGGTCGCGTTTGATCACCAACACATATTTGATTCCAGCCCGGTTGAAATTTATCGCGGAAATTTTTGACAACGTACGGACCGCGTTATCACGTGAGTTTGCACTGTGCGTGGGAGTGCGATTAATCTCAAACTTATTTGAATATATATATTTTCTGGGCACGTACGCTATTATCAACTTTTATTGGATACATGATGCTAATAGCAGCGTTATTTTGATTTTTCTTTAAAAAAATTTTCCTCGGAATTTTATTTCTCTGAAAAAGAATTCAATTATCTCCTATTTGAAAAAAATGTGAAGATGAAAAAGAATGAATACGAAATTGTTTAAACAGTTAAAATATTAAAGTCAAGTTTTACTTGATGTTGTATTCTCTAAAGTATATGATCTAGGAGTTTAATTAAACAGTCGCTAATAAAAATTTTAATATGAACGACCACGCACGATGGAGTGTAAAGGTCAGGAAATTTCGCGTTTGTATTTTAATACTATTGCAACTAATCCGAGACTGTAATAATTTTATAAGAAGAGATAGATATGACTCTCGTACATATTTAAGCTCATCTGTTCTCTTTTAGTTTCCCAGTTTCCAAAACGTATTAAAAATATGTAAATAACATTGCGTCGTCAAAGCGGCAACTAAATTTAATAAAGAAACTTCTTATGCCCGTGTTCGAGAATAATTGTATTTATATGCACGAATTCGCGACTATCCATCGTTCTTCTTTGTCGAATACGAGTCGGCACGTAAAAGAATTGTGCTATAAATTGATGATCTTCAAGAGAGATAATTCTTATTTGAAAGTTTCTATGAGTTTTGCATAACGATAGTCGCATAAAGAAATTCAAGTTTATGCACTTATGGATCTTTTATATGTAGTCCTTGAGAAAATGCGAGAAATGTTTAAAATATTAATAGACATATAAATCAGAATTACAAATATATGAAGGAAAAAATTGCTTATAAATTGTTATAGTTTTTGTGTTAAATTAACACAAAAATTTGAGTAGACTGTTCGGGACCATTTGTGTTAAATTTAACACAAATTTTTCAAGCGTGTAGTATTATTTCTCCTATTAGGGGACTTCTTAGAAAATAAGACATATTTTAGAACAATATTTTTAGTAAGCATCTTTTTAGTAACTTCCCCTCCCTCATTTTATTCACCAAAATATTCTCTATTATCCCACTTCGTCGCAAAATCGCTTGTTCCAATCGATGTACATTTCAATCGATCTCGTCGAACTTTTCTCTGAGCGATGACGACACGCGACACGCGGAGGATTCAAGTAGCAGAACTCATGTCGGCTCACGAGTGTACTCACTGTCGAACAAGATCAGCCTCCTGGCTACCACCCTGGCGTCGAGGGTGTTCGGCCTGTTTGGCTTTTGCTGGTCCCCGGCATCCGGAGCCGGGCCCGGGACCGGCACCGCCAA